TACCAGTCACAGCATAATATTATGTAAAATTTCTAGACTCTGTTTCCCCAGAACACAACAGTAAATGGTATTGCTCCATTTTTGGAGTAAAATTTGGCCCTCCATGCAAATTGATTGGCCTTGACAAACTGAAGTCCTGAAACTGTCAGAATATATGTTCTGCCAGGCACAGTGGCTCATGCCTGCAATCCCAGCACTTTGCGAGGCTGAAACAGGAGGATCACTTGATCCCACAAGTTCAAGGCCAGCCTGGGTAACATAGGAAGACTCTGTCTCTACAAATAGAAATAAAAAACTTAGCCAGGCATAGTGGTGTGGCCCTGTGGTCCCAGCTACTTGGGAGGCTGAGGTGGGAAGATAACTTGAGCCTCGGAGGTCAAGGCTACAGTGAGCCATGACTGTGCCACTGCACTCCAGCCTAGGTGACAGAGTGAGACTGTCTCAATTAAAAAAAAGAAAATGTGTTCTCTATTAGACATATCTGGGCTCAAGTCCTGGCTCCACCATTTGCTACTGCTGGTATGGCTTTAGGTGAGTGCTTCTCTGAGCCTCAGTATCCTCATTGGTTAAATGGAGAACCTACCTCATTGGGTTGTTGTTAAAGATAAACAAGATTACACATGTATAGTGCTTAGCGCAGTTGCTGACACATAGTAAGCACCCCATTGTTATTGTTATTGTTATTGTTAGCAAAATAAGACTCCATGGTAGAAAAACCATGCAAGTCATAAAATGTATCAGCATTAACTTTTATCAACAGATAGGGTGCTATTAAATGTATCACCAACATAGTAAAATGATAGAAAGGAATATTACAGTGTGAAAGCATTTATGCATTTGTTTGACAACAGGTACAATTGAAATACAAATATGCATTTGTTTGACAACAGGTACAATTGAAGCAATTCCAAAGGTCTTTAAATGGGTTGTATTTGCCCTGTTAACTCAGTATTTCCTGACTGGCAATAATTTTACTTGGTAATGCTCTGTATTATGGTAAAAGCTAACGATAATAATTTATCGAGTATATTCTTTGTACCAGGCACAGTTATGAATGCTATGTGAACACATTTAATCTTCACTGCAACTCGGAAGTAGGTACTATTACTGTGCATATTTTGCAGGTGGGAAAACTGAAGCGGACAGTTTGCCTCTGGAGCCCTCACTCTTAAACTCTATGATATATACCAGAAACTCTATGATACAGCCCAGGTGCCAAATCTGGCGCTCCACCTGATTTGTAAATAAAGCTTTATTGGAACACACCCACGCCCACTCATTGACACATTGTCTATAGCCATTTCTGTACTATAGCTTCAGGGTGGAGTAGTTGCTCCAGAGACCATGTGGCCCACAAACCTTAAAACACCTACTGTTTAGCACTTTATGGAAAAAGTTTGCCAACCCCTGATGTCAACTTTAAACTTCACAAAAAGACTGGAGTTCAGAAAGGAAAGAAAGAATACCTTGTAATAAAAATGCTTATGTTTGGTATTTACTGTGGATTTGTACATATTTATCTCACTTAATTCTCATAGCAATCCTGTGAAGTAAGTAGTCTTTTTATTTCCATTTTAGAAATGAAGAATCAGGAGTTCAGAGGGATTAAATGATTTACACTGTAGGCTGGAGAGCAAACTCCATGAGTCTAGGGATCATGTGTCTTCATCGTCATGTCCCTGTCACCTACCACGATGCTGGCACAGGGTGGACACTCAGAAAATACTTGCTAAATGAATGACAGTTACAAAGGTCATCCAGCTAGAGAATCCAGGTCTTCTCCTATTCCAGGGTTCTTTCTCCTGACTCCACAACTGTCTGACAGTTAAAAAAAAAAGGTCCGGGGGGGGGGACTTTCCCTTGAGATAGGATGAAGCCCAGAGTGGTTAACATGTCATTATGCTGTCAATTGACAAGTTTTTGCTGCTATGTTCCTCCTTCTCCTTAGTCAGAGAAGATAATCAGACCAAAAGGCAGTTCGTTTCTCCTCCAATGCACAGTCATGGTGTTGAGAGTTTACTTGTCCTTGTGATTGGTGCATATTTTGACAAGATTAAAACTGACACCCTCATGAGATGGTAGTCACATGGAATCTGGGTTTTGGATGGATTTCAGGCAGTGCTCTGGCTGCCTTCCTCCCAACCCCTTGCCCCACCTCCTACCCAGTGATGAGTCACAGTGCACAGCCGATTGCCCTTCAAGAGCTGACCCAAGGCTTTTGTTTTCTTTCATCTGCTTCATGCTGGTCATGTGAGGATCAGGGTATTATTAGACCATCATCTTGGGCTTCTAAATCTTGCTGTTGGTCAGGGAGATACATGAAAGGTTTAGTCAGTCCCTTTGTGCCATTTTCACTCCTCTCTTGACTGTCACATGCTGGTTGGTGGCAAAGCTAAACCACAGAATTCAGTGTGATCACCGCCCATGGCCATGGTCTCTACTGGTGTTTTGATTTCCCGCCTCTTTTAGCAGACACTCGGTGAGCTCCTAACTTCAGACTAGATCACCAGTACTGATTGTAACAAACCACCTCCTCCTCCGGTCAGCTGGCCTCATCTCTCCCTGCATGTGGAAAAGATACAGAAGCAGGGAGAAAAAGGAGTTTGGATGGGGGTGGGTTTTTTTATATGTAAAGTAAAATTACATTCAGGAAATTAAAAGTCTGTGTGTGGTTTAACAGGCTCCTAAAGGACTCCAGAGGGACAAAAATTTTACACAAATGCCATGGAAGCAGAGGTGCTCTGAATTGCCTAGGCTGTTGATCCAAAAGTTTCCATTCTCCTCTGCCACCCAATCTTTAAAATTTCATTTTGCTTCTTCCCTTGGGCTTGATTCCAGTGCCCACCAGAGTGTCATGCTCAGTGTTTATTGACCTGAAATGAAGTTGGGCTGAAACCTAGCCAGGAGATGAAATTCACTTAGAGAGTTTCCTAACAGCGAAGATTGTAGCTTCAATGTAAAGGAGGGTTCTCGGTTCTCTATGTCTAGTCTACTGAGTCTCAGGCTACTTATTACCCCAATTACTTTTGCACCAGCCTGATAGTTTTCTCTGGGGACCTGGTGGGTTCTCATGAAGTTAATTACTTTCACTTTATATCCTCCTCTTTTGTTTGTTAACCCTGTGAATGCATGAAGTGTGTTCTTTTATTTTGCTGTGTTGAGAAGGACTCTGCTGAGTCCTCACTGGTTGTGGAGTGGCTCATAAGGTGGGTCTCTTGAGCCTCACTTTGCTCATCTGTTAAGTGGATTGAACTAGATGGTCTCTTAAGATTCCTTCCGGTCTAAAGTTTCATTTTTCAACAATAGGATCTTTGTTTTTTATTTTTATTTTTTTATTTTTTAAGATGGAGTCTTGCTCTGTTGCCCAGGTGGGAGTGCAATGGCACAATCTCGGCTCACTGCAACCTCTGCCTCCTGGCTTCAAGCAATTCTCCTGCCTCAGCCTCCTGAGTAGCTGGGAGTACAGGCATGTGCCAGCATGCCCAGCTAATTTTTTGTATTTTTAGTAGAGATGGGGTTTCACCATGTTAGCCAGGCTGGTCCTGAACTCCTGACCTCAAGTGATTCTCCCGCTTTGGCCTCCCAAAGTGCTGGGATTACAGGCATGAGCCACTGCACCCTGTCTGTATTTGTTTTTTAATCTTGCCACATCGGTAAAGAATTTTGCTATAGAAGGAAAAAAAGATTGGACTAAGTATGCACTAACCTCAGTTATTATCTTCCTTTATTTTTGTCTGGCGATTATGGGGTGGTAGGAATGGGACATACTTTTTCAACAAACAAACTGGCTGGGCTTGGTGGCTCATGCCTGTAATCCCAGCATTTGGAGAGGCCAAGGCGGTCGGATCACCTGAGGTCAGGAGTTTGAGAGCAGCCTGTCCAACATAGCAAAACCCTGTCTCCACTAAAATTACAAAAAAAAAAAAAAAAAAGAAAATTAGCCAGGCATGGTGGCGGGCATCTGTAATCCCAGCGACTTGGGAGGCTGAGGCAGGAGAATCACTTGAACCCGGGAGGCGGAGGTTGCAGTAAGCTGAGATTGCACCATTTCACTCCAGCCTGGGCAACAAAGCAAGACTCCATCTCAAAAAAAAAAAAAAACACTCTGTTTAGCACCGAATTAGTGCCAGGCACTTGCTGAGGGCTTTATGTGCATTCTCCTATTATCACTCACAACAACCTTGTATTATTGACTCTACCTTGTATTAAAGGTATTAAATACTCAACCTTGTATTAAAGACTCTAAGTATTACTAGTATAGGTGAACAAACTGGGTGGGGCACCAAGAAATATAGTAACTTGCCCATCATCATGGAGCTAATACATGGTCAAATCAAGACTTGAATCTAAGGCCAAGAGCTACAAGGATCCAAGTTTTTAGCCACAGTGACATCACATAAAATACATCCCTGCATTTCTCTCTCTTTCTGTGATAGGCATCTTTCTGCAGAAATTTAAGTGCGATGAAAGAGTGTAATTAATAGACATGTTTATTGAACACTGCAGAAGCAGGAGGTATCAGGATAAGACTCTCCACTTCCATGGAAAGTGCACGTGGCTGCTGAACATGGGCTTTAGGTGCCTTGTGAGCAGTCAGTGCCAATAAGGAAGAAGTTCAAGCGGGGGCAGAAGAATTCCCCTGGGGAGGTGATTCTGCAGAACTCAGCCATTCACAGGTCGTGGGAGATTTTGTTCCCTTCAGGATACGTCAGCTTCACTTGCTGAAGTAGGACAAATAGAATGAATTAGCCCTGGCTGAAGCCAAAATTCTTTATATTTAAAAGAAGAAAAGCAATTAAATACTCAGCCCAATCCTGGGTTTTGAATTACCCCATTTATCTTTCACTCTGAGCATCTGCTTTTTATTGCATTGTGGCCCTGCCTGCCATTTATCTCCCCCTGTCAGTCTGTATCCACGTGTCATGGGACTCAAAAGTGAAGATTAGAGGAGAAAAATATCTCTGTATTCTAAGCCTGGCAACTTCTATTTTTATCCTCAGCTGTTGGAGCTGATAGCAAAGTCACAGCTCACATCCCTGAGTGGCATCGCCCAGAAGAACTTCATGAATATTTTGGAAAAAGTGGTACTGAAAGGTGAGCCTTCTGTCACTCTCTCGCCCCTTTTAATAGGCATGGAGGTGGGCAGATGGATTTTCCAATAGAGTGGACATGTCATTAGATTTAAAGATGTGTGAATGGATGAAATGAACAACTCCAGCTACATTTCAGAGGCACTAAATTCCAGTTCAGAAGGGGGTGCAGTGCATCCTCATGGCAAAGGGTGAGACCGTCGCCCTCCTGTCCTTCCTTTGGGACCATCTACTTGCCCTACTAAAAGCCTCGTAGGCTTCTCAGTGTAGACACAGGTCCCAACACTGGCTCCCGAGCCTCCAGGTCCCAAATTCCTAGAAAATCGACACGTGTACAAAATCAGAATAGATTCGTAGACTATTCGAGCTAGAAGGAACCTTAGGTCTCTGGTTCACCTGACTCATTATACACATGAAGAAACTGAGGCCCATGAGGAGAAGTGATTTGTCCACAATCACACAGAGTCAGCCAGACAGGATTAGAGCCCAGGCTCCAAACCCCTGAAACTATGCTCCTTCCACTGACTGTCCTAAAGGGGGGGTCACATCTGGACAAAAGGAGTGGCTTCTGATCAGGTGAGCCATGGCTGCTGGGAGAACAATGAAGAGAAAGAGGCTTTATAGAAAATGAGAGAGAAGAGAACAAAGAGGGACCTAGATAATGGAAACTCTACCTTTTGACCTCAAGTGCAGAAGTTTGGCCAACCGTATAGTAAACACGCGTGAGGAAGAAAACCGTATCCCCAGAGGCAGTGCCTGGGTAACATGACTGGAATAGAGACAGAGAAAAGCTCATGTGTAAAATACAGGGTGTTCCAGTATCATAACTTTGATTATTTTTTTCTTCCCCACTCAAGTCCTTGAAGACCAGCAAAACATTAGACTAATAAGGGAACTACTCCAGACCCTCTACACGTCCTTATGTACACTGGTCCAAAGAGTCGGCAAGTCCGTGCTGGTTGGCAACATTAACATGTGGGTGTATCGGATGGAGACGATTCTCCACTGGCAGCAGCAGCTGAACAACATTCAGATCACCAGGGTAAGCGGGCAGGCCCAGCCTCCTCCCAGCAGTGGGTTCCTCCACGGAGACACTGAACAGCCTCGCCAAGACTTTGAATTCACTCCCAGGACAGAAGAGTCCGGTCTTTTCTGATGGCTGCTTTGTCCTGGTGCTGAGGGAGGGCTGGGGGACCTCCTGATAAAGGGAGGTGGGAAGAAAAACTTGGCAAAACGGGATCAAAGTACATGAAAGATGGCAGCCTGGTGAACTACTGTGGGAAAGCTGGAAACTGGGCTTTTGGGGAGAAGCAGCCCCGCTGCTGAAATCTTTAGCGGGGTTCAGAGATGTCTGTTTGCTCATTTCCTCATAAAGGATGACTTGTTTGCCACTTTAGGTTGCTGTCTTGAATATAACAGAGCTGGGAAGGCTTGGAGAACTGGTACCAGCCTTTTAAAATCCTAGTTCCGATTATTGGTAGTTATGACAAAGGAAGCCTTTGATTAAAGTCTGTGAGCTTACATGTGGGAAAATGATGAGCAATTCTCAAAGCACAAAGGAAAAGCCCTATATTACCAGTGAGGTTTGGCGATCTACAGCAGTTGTTCCTTTTGGCTTTCACAACCTAGCTTGGCCCTCAGCTCTTGTCCTCCTAATAGTGAGCAGGAGGACCAAGGCACAAAAAAAAAAAAGGAAGATGCTGGTGCAATCTCTTAGGACTCACTAATGGACAGACACACTCAGGCGGCTCATGTAGCACTTTGCTTACTTATCTCATCACAGACTGTAACTGGCTTAAGTGGTTTCCGGGACCCACACTGATAAAATTTGAGGTTGCCTCATATCAGGAGAAGGTAGCAGGAAGAAATCCTTTGACTGCTTTTAAATAACTCTTTTACTAGATGAAGTTTTTAGAATGCATGTTCATGACTTTACTGGTAATTACCTCTCTGTCCCTTCGCTTTTTAAGCTGTGAAACAGAATCATTCGAAGGCTCAGAGTTACGTGACTTCCTTAGAGTCACGTAGGTTACAACACCTACACGCTGTTGCCACAGACACACACGCAGAGCAGAGCACAGATGCAAGTCATCTTTCAGAAATCATCTCGCGTATTTGATTTGTTTAAGAGAATGTACATATTTATTATGAACATTCACCTGATTGATTCTAATAATTTACCCCATTCCTACATCTCAAGTGTAGGCACATAGTCTGACCATGTGAACGTGAGACCCAAGTTCCCAGCTTCTCTCTCACAGAAAACCCACATACACGTTCTACCTGGTTTCTGGCATTCTCTATGGCCTGGACTGACTGACTAGGATTTTTCTAAGACCAGGAGAGAACTTCCAAGCCAGTGATATAAACAAGCAGGTCCCATGTGTCCCAAGGGCACTTCCCTTCAGCAACTTCAGAACACCCATTTAGATGGTCACAGTTGGCCAGGTGCGGTGGCTCATGTCTGTAATCCTAGCACTTTGGGAGACTGAAGCAGGCAGATCACTTGAGGTCAGGAGATCGAGACCACCCCAGTCAACATGGTGAAACCCCATCTCTACTAAACATACAAAAATTAGCCAGGTGTGGTGGTGCACACCTGTAGTCCCAGCTACTTGGGAGGCTGAGGCAGGAGAATCACTTGAACCCGGGAGTTGAAGGTTGCAGTAAGCCGAGATCACACCACTACTTACCAGCCTGGGTGACACACTGAGACTGCATCTCAAGGAAAAAAAAAAAAAAAGGAAAAACTCTAGATGGTCACACTTGCCTGGAGCTTGCCTCTGTTCCCTCTGTCCACCTCCAAGGACCCCTTCTGGCCACATCTGCCCGCATACCCTGCACTGCCATAGGCTTACATGCTCAGAACCCTTCTTAGCTGATCCACCAACGCTCTTCGGAGCTAGCTGTTGTAGCTGTTGTTACCCCTCTTGGAGTGGAGGTGGAGTGGCGACCAGAGATGCCCAGTGACTTTCCAAGCGATATACAGCAGTTAGGGCCAGAGCTGAGGCCAGAACCCTGGATTCCATATTCCTAAAATGTCAAAGCTTGCTTGAGTTTCCAAACTTTTTCAATCCAGCTTTCTTCCAACTATTTATCCAATGATCCAGCTGTTTAAAAAACTCTCTTTGATCCAATGAGATCCCACAAAGAAGAGATCAAACACTGAAGTTCACTCACTATCTCTTCTACATGAGGAGGTCCAGCCAAGCCAAGTCATTCTCTGCACTCTCCAGGCTTGGCCCTGCCTCAGGGTTTTGAAGCTTGCTGCCTTCTTTGACCATCCAATCTATGGACGTCACCATCATATCACCTTCCTCTGAGCAGTTATGATCTGAAATTGTCTATAATGTGTACTTTTCTGTCTCTGTCCACTGGGTTATAAACTCCACAAAGAAAGGACATTACCCATCTATTCCCTGTTCCTGGCACAGAGCAGGAGACAGTCAGTAAATCTGAGTTGAATGAATGAGTGGTTGAAAGGGAGTCTCCTTCCATTGCCTGCCTGAGTACTCGTTCAGTGTTCAAAAGAACACAGTTGGAAAACATGGCCCTGTATTATGAATGATGATGATCATTTACCAGCTGCAGGATTTCTTTTTTTGAGACAGGGTCTCTGTCGCCCACGCTGGAGTACAGTGGCACGATCTCAGCTCACTGCACCCTCCACCTCCTGGGTTCAGGCGATTCTCCCACCTTAGACTCCCCAGTAGCTAGGATTACAGGCGTGCACCACCATGCCCGGCTAATTTTTGTATTTTTTGGTAGAGACAGGGTTTCACCATGTTGGCCAGGCTGGTCTCGAACTCCTGGCCTCAAGTGATCCACCCACCTCAGCCTCCCAAAGTGCTGGGATTACAAGCATGAACCACCACGCCCGGCCCCAACTGCAGGATTTGAGGCAAGTTATTCAGTCTCTCCATGCCTCACTTTCCTCATTTGGAAAATAGTTGCAGTAGTGTCAACTCATAGCCATCGTGTGAGATTTAATAAGTTAATATATAGAAAGCAAATGGCACAGTGCCTAATGTACAGTAAATATTGTAAACATGTCAGCTGTTATTATTAAGGGCTGGCTCTGTGCAGGCCCTCTTCTTTTTTTTTTTTTTTTTTTTTTTTTTTTTGAGACAGTCTCGCTCTGTCGCCCAGGCTGGAGTGCAGTGGCCGGATCTCAGCTCACTGCAAGCTCCGCCTCCCAGGTTTATGCCATTCTCCTGCCTCAGCCTCCCGAGTAGCTGGGACTACAGGCGCCCGCCACCTCGCCCGGCTAGTTTTTTGTATTTTTTAGTAGAGACGGGGTTTCACTGGGTTAGCCAGGATGGTCTCGATCTGCTGACCTCGTGATCCGCCCGTCTTGGCCTCCCAAAGTGCTGGGATTACAGGCTTGAGCCACCGCGCCCGGCCTAGGCCCTCTTCTAAGTCCTTTACATGTATTGATTAACTCACCTAGTGAAGAATTGTTAAGTAGGAGTCATCACAGTGGCTAGCATTTACTGGGCACTACACTGAATGCTTCTATGCATTATCTCATCCGCCCCACCCAACAACATTGGAGGATAAGCTTTTTCTCATGTTATAAATGAGAACAATTAGAACGAGTAGTTAAGAATCATTTGGCTGAGGCCTCATGCTCAGTAGGATGTAACACAAGAACTGAACCCAGGCCTGTCCACAGAGGCTGTGCTTTCAACCACTGTGCCTTCCTCCCGCTGTCCTCTGTCCCAACCCTCCTTGGCTCTGAGCTTTCTTATGTTGAGAGCTGTACTGGAACCCACAGAGCCTTAAAGGGCTTTTCTTTTTTTGTTTTGGTTTTGGTTTTTTTTTTTTTTTTTTTTTGAGACAGGGTCTTATTCCCATTGCCCAGGCTAGAATGCAGTGGCACGGTCCTAGCTCACTGCAGCCTTGGCCTCCCAGGTTCACGTGATTCTCCCACCTCAGCCTCCCAAGTAGCTGGGACTACAGGCACTCGCCACCACACCCAGCTAATTTTTGTATTTTTAGTAGGGAGGGCGTTTCACCATCTTGCCCAGGCTGGTCTCGAACTTTTGGGCTCAAGCAATCCTCCTGCTTCAGCTTCCCAAAGTACTAGGATTACAGGCGCGAGCCACTGCGCCCAGCCTCCACACAGAAGCTTAACTCTCCAGGGGAAGGAGAAATGGAGAGAAAGAGAAAAGACTTAATTACTTCAGTCTGGACTGTATTTTAAAACTTACTTTTTTTTTAACAGTTTGACCCAGAGAGAAGTACATTACTACATGCAAATATGAAGTTGACTTTCAGAGTAAATGCTTTCTATTTTGCCAAAATTCTATCATTCTCCTCCCAGCATAAAATCTTATTTTCCTGCGAAATGTTCATATCTAATTCTATGGAGCCCATTTTTACTGGCAAAATAATATAATAAAGAATGAAGGAAAGAAATTAAGAGAACTGGGTCTTAGGGGGAAAAAAATCAAAGACAGTGACAGTATGCGGTGGGCAGGGCACTGTTTTGAAGCATGTGAGGAGTGACATAGACCCGAATGGATGTTAGCCAAATGCTTGACTAGAGGAGCGAGAGTGACTAATTTTTCTTTTATACGTTTATATTCGAAAGGAGGAGGCATGTAAGCAGTTAACCACTTATCAGGAGGAAGGGCTCAGCATGGGGTCTGGGCACGGATTTTGGAAAAGTTCAGGTTTGAAAATTTGACAGAGTGAACTCCGCCAAGTGGGCTTGCCTTTAGTAGGAGTTAATGTAATAATTGGCCTGGGAGTTTTAACCAAAAAAGTAGAGGCTTTGAAGTGTTGGAAACGAAAAGAAAATCTCGTGGCAGTTTTATGAGCTCATATGATCAGCAGCAGATGAAAAACGATAAATAGGTCTAGGGCCTTCTGCGGCTGGCAAAGACCTGAAGTTTGCAAACAATTGAGAGTTCTGCCCAGCAGCCTGGGGTAGAACCGAGCCCTATAAATTGTCAAGTCATGGATACTTTGAATGAAACAGGAGGCTGAAGTCCTTCTACAACTGAGATTGTTGGAGCTGGGAGGGATCCTCAGAGTCTTCTAAGCCATTCATTTTGGACATGGGGAGACTTCCCAGGGGAGCTGGGATCCAGATGTGCTGCCTGTCGGTCGGTGTTCCTCCCCTGCACCTCCCATTCTTCTCCGTAGCTCAGCCTTCCCAAGGCCCCTTGCCACCGCTCCCTCCCCACCTCATGCCTACCCAGCCTTGCCGGGACACAGGAGAGAATTGCCCAGACCTAGTGTCTCCTGGAATCCTCCATGTGTTTAGGCTTCGATGTGCTTCATACAGAGTTTGGCTCCTGTAAAAATTTGGGCAGGGAAATTGATACCCATTCTCAGGATATTTTCCCCTGAGCTAAGGGAGGGTTTCTTCATCCTGTATTGTTTTTCTCCTGTGACCTCTCAGAGGTCACAGAACATTGATCTAAAAATGTGAGTAGTCCAAAATCAAGAGCTCACCCAGAACCAGCAGGGGCAGGACAAGGAGCCGCAGTCCCAGGTGGTCTATCGATCTATCTGGATGGCAGCATCCTGTTGCCGTTCAAGACACATCAGCAAATACATGTGCGGATTCCCAGGTGCAGATTCTCCCCACGGAGCTTTGTGCTTCCCTCCATGACAGCACTTACTGTCTTATTTTATATTATTTTATGATTATTTGTTTCTGCCTCTGGGTCTCTCACCAGCCTAAAGAGCTTATTGCAGCAACTTCAGCACCAGGCCATAGTAGACACTCAGGAGAGGTGGCTTGTGCTGGGCTGGTCTACAAGGGACATAAAATTAGACCCTGCCTTCAAGGATGTAGATCTGGGCAGGGTATCATAAGCTCATCAAAATTTAAAACAATAAAGGCTTAAATATATTAGTAAGTTCAGGGATGTACCAGAAGCTCTTGGAGAAGCTCACAATTAATTGCCAAGGTATTATCCACAGACCAACAGTTTTCACAATGTTCCACGGAGGCCTCGGTCAGAATAGAGATGTCTCAAGGGATGGTGGAGCTTGGGCCAAGGGCTTCTGGACCTGCCATTCCCAATGTGCGTGCGTGCACGCACACACACACACACACACACACACACACACACACACACACACACCCCAGCATAGAGTCTTTGTGTTGTTTTCTACCTATTTAATTATTTGGGCTTCATTCATTCCACCGGTATTTGTCGAGTGCCTTCTATGTGCTGGGCACTCCTGTAGACACCCAGGACACAGTAGTGAAAAAAGATTAAAATTCCTGCCTTCATAGAGTTTAAGTTCCAGCAAGAATGTTCCTTTCAAAGTTTCTTTTAGAAAGAAAGCTCATGTTGCATGACAAAAAGAAGGATATTGCAAGAAGTGTCTCAAAGAGATCCTAGGAATTCTAGGAAGGTGCAGTGGGTAAGGGAGTCACAAAAACAGAAAAGGCCTTTCAGAGGAAGTAGGTTTGAACTGGATCTGAGCAGGACGACCACGTGGCCAAGCAGAGAGGACTGGGGAGGCGAGGGCATTGAGGTCAGGCTGAGTCAGGTGTGTTTAGGTGCCAGTGAGTAAACCTACTTGGAGGGACCTGAGGTCTGGAGGGCGGCCAGAGAGATGGGTCTTGGGGTGGCTGGCTGGGCCACTCCATCCAGGGCAGTGAGGCCTTCAGGAAAGCAGCAAATCTTGTAACTCTGTGAACTGAGTAAAGCACATGCACCATTTGGAGAGTCTTTAAGAGTGAAAGTTTCAAGCTTTGGAAATGTAGGGAGATCCCTCTGGCACCACTCAGCTCAGCCCACTCCACACAGTTCTTTGTGGCTCACAGCCATGGCCTCGTGTCTGCTTTTGGGATGGGGAGATTTACTCTGCTTTCGAGCTCTTATCAATAAACTGCCTCGAGGGTGGAGGACGGGGGCAGCTGCATGCCTAGAAGGCCTGGTGAATCGCTGCTCTCTGGCATCCCACCTATTGTCACCCTTCTCTCTGCAGCCTGCCTTCAAAGGCCTCACCTTCACGGACCTGCCTTTGTGCCTACAACTGAACATCATGCAGAGGCTGAGCGACGGGCGGGACCTGGTCAGCCTGGGCCAGGCGGCCCCCGACCTGCACGTGCTCAGCGAAGACCGGCTGCTGTGGAAGAAACTCTGCCAGTACCACTTCTCTGAGCGGCAGGTGGGCAAGGCCCAGCGGGCTTTCCTCCCACCCTCCTCTGGCCCCCACCCCAAGCTTCCTTGGTGCCCTGCTCAAGCCTGAGGTCTGGGTTCGCCCTACTCCAGGTTTGACTGAACCTTCCCTGGTTTGACTGAAAAATGACAGTTGAAGGAGTTTTGTGATTTTGTTTCTTGTTTTTTGAGACAGGGTCTTGCTCTATGGCCCAGGCTGGAGTGCAGTGATGCAATCATAGCTCACTGCAACCTCAGCCACTTGGGCTCAAGCGACCCTCCCACCTCAGCCCCCCGAGTAACTGGGACTACAGGCTCATGCCACAACACCCGGATAATTTTTTTATTATTGTTTTTGTAGAAATAGGGTCTCTCTATGTTGCCCAGGCTGGCCTCAAACTCCTGGCCTCAAGCGATCCTTCTGCCTCGGCCTCCCCAAAGCACTGGGATTACAGGCATGAGCCCCCATGCCTACCCAGTCTTGAGTTTTTAAATAGAGATGTTGTCTGTGTGTTTTTTTCAGGTAGTTTTTATGAAAAAAATTGAACTTACATTCTTAACCTATTCTTATTTTACAACTCACTCAAAAAAATCATAAATTGGCACCCATCCTTTTTATCTATAACCCCATAACTTACATTTTCTGAGTGCCTTAAAGTACTTTTTTTGTTGTTTTTTTCTTTTTTTTTTTTTTTTTTTTTTGAGACAGAATCTCACTCTGTCACCCAGGCTGGAGTAAAATGGTGCAGTCTCGGCTCACTGCAACCTCTGCCTCCCTGGTTCAAATGATTCTCCTGCCTCAGCCTCCCAAGTAGCTGGGATTACAGGTGTGCGCCACCATGCCCGGCTAATTTTTGTATTTTTAATAGAGACAGGGTTTCACCATGTTGGCCAGGCTGGTCTCGAACTCCTGACCTCAGGTGATCCGCTTGCCTCAGCCTCCCAAAGTACTGGGATTACAGGTGTGAGCCACCGTGCCCGGCCTTAAAGTACTTTCATAGATATTATTTCATTTTATTCTAATGGCCCAGGGAAGGATAGGTATTGTTGTGCCTACTTCAAACAGATGAAGGGACTAAAGCCACAAATGGCTAAGTGACATATCCAAATTAATGAAGTAGCTCTTTGGGTGAAGAAACTGGCCCTGACCTTGAATTTGGACCTTCAGATACCAACTCCAAGCCTGTTTCCCTTCATCATGCTGCCTCAAGTTTGTTGGTCTTTTTCCAGTTTCTTTATATGGATGTGTGAGTTCAACAAGTTCTGTTCATGAAGCCACTAATATTTAGATATAAACTAGAGCCCTGGTGCCAAGCAGTTATTGCATCTCCCTGGAAATGATCACTCAAATCTATAGCAAAGAAAAGATTGAAGTTGTTTATTGAGATCCCCTAAACTTTAAAGGACCATCCAGCTGCAGTTTAGTAAAGGTCACTAGCAACGTGTCACCAGCCACCTGTTTTTTTGTTTTGTTTTGTTTTAAGCTTGGTGAAAAGCTACTGTTTAACTGAGGAGAGCTAACAAGGTACTTGTTTATATAGTGACAGTTCTCCCCTCGCTATTGTAGAGCTGAAAAGAGGGGGAAAGGGTGAGAGTCAGCCTTTTCAGAACCAGAAAACCACAAGCCATCTTCTTGACAAACTCTCTTGCAATTTCTTTTCTTCATTTGATTTTTTAGATCCGCAAACGATTAATTCTGTCAGACAAAGGGCAGCTGGATTGGAAGAAGATGTATTTCAAACTTGTCCGATGTTACCCGAGGAAAGAGCAGTATGGAGATACCCTTCAGCTCTGCAAACACTGTCACATCCTTTCCTGGAAGGTATGTGTCTCAGAGGTGGCTGCCACAGACCCCCAGCCCAGTCCCTAAGAGCCAAGAGTGCCAGCCAGCATGGTGAGGTCAGCGCCTTTCCGCCTCTTCCCCATCATAGCCCCCGGCTGAAAGTCAGGGTAAACTGATTCAGTGCCTGGGAGGGTGGGGGTTCCCTTTGTCTGACAGACTTTCATAGACCTCCATTTTCTTCACTTTTCTTATGTTTACATTTTTCTGCATTCCACCTACCCACCCACCCTTAAATCCTCCTCTCTCTGTGTGTACCAGTACACACACTTACACACGGAAACACATGCCTTTGAGTTTTTCCAGACTTGTAAAATGTTTTCATTGATGCGTAATACATAGTTTCAGGGTCCATGTGATAATGTTATTCATGTAATTTGTAAAAATTAAATCAATGTACTTGACACATTCATAACCTTAAGTGTTTGTCACTTATTTATGCTAGAACCATTCCAATTCTTCTCTTCTGGCTATTTTGAAATGTTCAATAGTTTTTTGGTTTTTTTTTTTGAGGCGGAGTCTCACTCACTCTGTCACCCAGATTGGAGTGCAGTGGTGGGATCTCGGCTCATTGCAACCTCCACCTCCCAGGTTCAAGCGATTCTCTTGCATCAGCCTCCCTGAGTATCTGGGACTACAGGCACATGCCACCACACCCAGGCTAATTTTTGTAATTTTTAGTAGAGATGGGGTTTCGCCATGTTGGCCAGGCTGGTCTTGAACTTTTGACCTCAAGTGATCCACCTGCCTAGGCCTCCCAAAGTGCTGGGATTACAGGCATGAGCCATCGCGCCCAGCCTGAAATAATCAATAGATTATTGTAAATTACGTTCACTTACTGATCTAACAGCAGGTCTTACTCCTTCTATCATACCATGTATTTGTACCCATTGATCCACTTCTCTGCATCCCCTTCCTTTTCCCTTTCTCTGCACTGGTAACCACCAGTCTACTCTCTGTCTTCATGAAATCTACTTTTATAGCTCCCACATACAAGTGAGAACATGCAACATTTAGGCCTGGGGCGGCATTATTGACAGAGAGTCGTTGCTTTGAAGTTGGAAAATGCCTTTTGGTGCCAAAAGCCAATGAGAGGCCTCTGAGAACTTGAAGCTAACCGTGTGTTCCTTTCCAGGGCACTGACCATCCGTGCACTGCCAATAACCCAGAGAGCTGCTCCGTTTCACTTTCACCCCAGGACTTTATCAACTTGTTCAAGTTCTGAATCCCAGCACATGCCAACACTTCAGAAGGGTCCCCCTGCTGACTGGAGAGCTGGGAATATGGCATTTGGACACTTCATTTGTAAATAGTGTACATTTTAAACATTGGCCTGGAACTTCAGAGATAAGTCACGGAGAGGACTTGGAGGGGAGAAATGCAGTTGCTGACTGGGAATTTAAGAATGTGAACTTCTCACTAGAATTGGTATGGAAAAGCAAAATACTGTAAATAAACTTTTTTTCTAACAATTTGCCAGCAAGACTATAAGGGCAATAATTCTGTTTCAGCGGTGAAAATGGAATCCTCTTAATGGTCACAGAAACTCCCTTATAGTTCCCTAGGAAGAAAAAGGCAAAACTCAAATACAAAATAGGACGCTTTGTTTACAATGTGAAAATGTGTTTAGAAAAGAAAAAAGAAGAAGGAAAGCTACATAGGAGAAATCCCTGGGCTTTGGGGTTTGATCTGGTGTTTGTTTTGAGAAGGCGAAGGAAGCGCCACCCATCCTAAACCTGCATGGGCACAGAGCCTTACCCTACAGAGATACCACACAATGGTCTACCTCTCAAAGTGTAGAGTGCCCTCTCTGACGACGCATGTGATCCAGTAGGCAGTGTCTGTTTTTCTTGTAAGTGTTCTCATCACTATAAAAAGTGATTTAAAATGGAAAGGGATATTGGAGGCAACCCTCATCTGGTTCCACACTTCCTTTTCAGGCAAACAGGGCCCTCCTTGGAGTTATCTGTTTACCAGAACAACCCAAAAGCACACGTTCCTTTTTTCCTGTCATGTTGTAGCTCATTTGGGGGAAGAGAAGGCCAACTTAAAACAGTCCCAGGGGAGGATTGCTTGAGCCCAGGAGTTCGAGGTTTGCAGTGAGCTATGATCGTGCCACTGCACTCCAGCCTGTCTCCAAAACAAAAGCCATCCCAGAGGAAGTCCTGCTGCAGAAAAGATGATAGAATTAGTCACCCAACTGATAGCTGTGAAGACTTTCTTATTCCTGCTTAACTTTCTTCCTTGGATATCTTCATGGATAAGCCTGTGTCTGTGGACAGAGTGGGGCCCAAGTGCTGAGGCTCGGAAGACAGGTTTTACAATCAGCCAGTTAAACATCTTACCAGTTGCCGTTCCCCTTGCCAGGGGGATGAGCTGCGGAGCTTCTTTTCTTTAGGTCCAACATCAAAATGAGTCCATCTGAGCTAAGGCTTTTTGCAAAGGTGATTAAAAATCAAGGCTGGAGTTCCAGCCAAATAGGGAGGAGAGGTACCACAAGTTCATCTTAAACTTGCTTCCAGGCTGGATAGTTAAAACAGGAAGATCCCAAGGGGATTTTGCGAGGCAAATAGCAGCAGGTAACTGTGGAAGAAAGGAAATCTCAGGACCTAGTGAGTTCATTGTAAAATATTCTTGGGAGTAGATGGGGGATCTACTCCCAGTTTTTTACTTTCCACAGAATGTTGTTGCTTTCCTACAACAATGTACATATATTTGCAGTTGTATATGCTTTTCTTTTTTTTTTTTTTTCCCCAAATAAAGTTGTCACCCTGCATGCCCTTGGCAAATAAGTGAAGCAGAAATAGGAACATGATCCACATGCAAGTTGAGGAACAGTTTATCTTTAAGAACTGACCTTTGGGGTGACCTGGAAAGGGGGAAAGATGGCTAAGCACGGAGAGAAATGAGGCAAGAGACAAGCTATGATACAACACCTCTTCAACCCCTGCCCTCAATAGCACACAACCCATGTATCAGCTTTCTGAAGAGAAGGAACTTACTATTCAGTGCTCCTCACTTTGCAATGTTTCTGCTACGCCAGGATTTCTCCAATTTTTTTTTCATTATCATCCCCCCAAGGAGAAAAAAATTACATTGAATTTAGATTTTCCCTAATAAGGAAAATTAAATATGAAAGAGTAGGATTTTGTTGGGTAAGATTGAGCTTTGGAAGATCACGAACCATTATACTATCTAAGGTGTGTTTTCTTTTTTTTTTTTTTTTTTTTTTTGCAGTCCCTCTCCCCCCTGAATCAATTTCACATTGGGAATGCGGAACCTAGACTGTTGAATAAAAAGCTACTTCTTCCATAATTATCAGGTTCTCTGCAATTTCTCAGCCTCCTCAAAGACGTGGGGTGGAGTTGCGTGTGCCACCACTGAGAGAGCTCTGGAACCTTTGACTCTCAGTGACATTTTTAGATTTAGGGGTTCGTGGCCTTCCACATGTTGCCACCAACTTGCGATCTCTGCACCTTCATGCTGATCAAGAAAATAGAAACTCCTTGTCGCCTTCAGGTTTACAATCCCAGAAACATTGCCTGCTGTGGACTGTCAGCACAAAACTGGGAACTGGTCTCATTTAGACTGTCAGCAGTGCACGTGATTGTACGATAGACCCCAGGCAACCAGGTGCATCTGGCAAGATGACCCCTGCCCCAAGAGAAGGGTTACAGTCTTCTTAAATGTTTACCAAGATGGTGCTGGTGGGCTCTCCCCATGTCCTTTGGTGTTACTGGAGTTGGTGTATGACAGAGTCAAGGAAATGTTTTAAGGAAAATGAAGAATAAATCAACCTTTATGGTTCTCTTTCATTGGAAGAGGAGAATAAAGAAGGAAATGGCAGGTAGAGAGGGAGGGGGAAAGGAATAGAAATGGCATGTCTTTGATGTTGTGGCTTGTGTGGGGATGATGGGAAGAGCACAGCAGGCACAGCGTATCTGTGCTAGTGCCACGTGGTATCTGTTAAGTATGGCCAGAGCCTCACATATAAGTGAAGAGAGTTAAGACAATTATTGCTCTTTGAACAATAATAGTGTATAGAATTTCTATTGGCAAACTGTCCCAGACAATCTGACCTATCAAACAAAAGCAAATAATCCCTGTCTCAGAACTGCTGGTCTAAAAGCCAGAAGGGGCACGATGATGGAAATTGCTAGAAAAGAGAGAATGCTCTACTCTCTTTCCTGGGCCTACCTACCCCCATCCTAAACCCTGTAAAACAGAATTTCAAAATAGATGTCAAATATGAAGTAACTCAGACTTCCAAAGAAGGAAGGAGTTCTGCCCAGGGCAGTATGAGCAAATCCACAGGGATGTTAAGATTTGGTCCAACTCAAAGGTTTATGGGCAGTGAGCCTAGAGTCTCTTGAGAGTAAGCCCTTGCATTTGGGACAAGGAGAATATGTGAAGCTCAGGAGTGCTCACACTAGAGCAAGATCTGGAAAAAAAACAATCCAATGGCATTTTTAAACTAGATTGCATTATCACTCAATGCTGTTACTTTGAGCAGACAAATCAGTTGAATGGGAGGGCAAATGGCAGAAATGAACAAAAGCTGTTAGGTGAAAGCATCCCCAATGTATCAGTTGTGAGATGATTTTTGTTTAATGATGATCAGGTTTACATTGAAGTGGCTTGGAAGATGTATTTCAGAGGGACTGGGTTTGCACTGCAAATCTGAACACTAGAGCAGGTTCTACTAGCACTTGGGCAGTAAGGTAGTGGGTGTGTATAATGCTGTTGCCACAGTTCTCATCTTTGTGGATTCACATACCCTTTCCCATGAAGAGCTTGCTACTAACAGAGGCTCCTTGTTTCTGTTGTTTTTATACGGGAGAAGAGAAAGACCTTGGAATTTCAATTGTCTAAACAAGTGGTATGATTTACTAGGAAGCAAACTATTCAAGAGATGTTCAACAGTATATCATTCTTAGCATTCAATACAATGTTTATGATAAAATATACACCTGAGTTTATGTTTTTCTGCCAGGCTGAAAGGCAATAATGTCTTGCTATGCAAACACTATTTTATGTGTGGATTTTTTAACTGCAATTTTATGTGTGAATTTTTTTTAACTAAACTCTATCATCATTTTCTATGTTGACATCTTTTTTTTTTTTTAATCTGTTTCCAACTCTGAGTCTGTGAACTGTCTCTTCTGACTGGATGCTGGCCTAAAATCCTATTAGTGCTTAAACAGACCTCGAAACACTCTGATCCTCTAGGCCAATACAGAGATGTTGTTATTTGATATATCTTGGGTCCTTGATGGCTTCAACAAACAAGGTCATAATTTGTTTAAATTCAGTGTTTTCTGTAGATACTTTCTTCTCAGTTTCATTAAGGAGAGTAACCATCTTTGGTTTTCCAAAGAATGGAAACTCCTACCCCAGACTTCAGACTTAGAGCTTCTGCCTTTCACGATCACGATGAGGAAGAGATCCAGAATGTTTAGGGGACGTGCGTCAGCCCACCTGGTACTCAGTGGCAGAGCTGAATGCCAACTTGAGGCCTCCTGAGGCCTGACCTTGTGTGCCCCCAGCCCTCCACCCCAAGCACCTTTTGGTGTGGCTGGAGACACATGACGTTGGATGTGATTTTTCTCAAGCCCTTCACTGTGGAAGGCATGGGAGACTGCCCAGCACTGGGCATCTGGCTGTTAACGTTTCCATTTCAAGTCCCTGATTTTTACTGGAGAAGTTAAGGAGCCACTTAATGTTTTTACAGACCTCTGATTCTGTTGTGAATGTGGCATTCCAATGAGTACAACCTGCTTGCTATAAAGAAAGCAGCATATTTTGACAACTTTATTTTTTCCTTGGGTACTTACATTTTTATTACAAAAACGGCCCTTATTAAAAAAAAGGGCTGGGCAGTGACTTACTTCCTAGAAACTGAGATTCCAAAGCAGGTGTTTCCTCTCCGCTAGACTCAGAGGTACATTTAATCCATCTTCTCCATTTCCTCCTTCAGGACCAGCTATGAGATTCAGTGCATTTCTGTCCCAGCGGATGTTCATTCTCCGCTAAACTTCATCTTTTACTAAGCAAAGGGGGATTATTCCATGAGGCAGCCAGGAGCAAGGGGCCATGATATTCATGACTTTGTCTGCTGAGCATTTTTCAAAGTGTCCTTGAATTCACTCAGCAAACAAAGCTTTCTGGAGAATCTCTCAAAACAGGCCCTGCTCCATTTGGCCAAAAACGATGGCTGCTCCAAAACTCTGAACTTCTTGAAACTCCATCTGCTACATTATTTCTGGAGTTTAAACACGACTTTTTCTGTCTTTGAGTATAGATGTGTTTGTTTAATTAACGAAGCACAAATCTGTTAAGCAGAAGGCTCCAAGCTGTATTCTATACTTGGGAACCCTTGGTGCCATCTTTATTTTACCAAGTGCCAATCACCATGGCTAAAGTGGGTGTATATTACAGCCTGTGTCCTAAGCTTAGACGCTTTAATGTACTTTT